TCTTGAACTTGTAAGCCTAAGTAATCTTTCTACTTCAGTTTCCTATGTAGCTCAGAGAAATATTCAAATTAAACATAAAGCCAGCATTGGTGACAGCTAATGGCTCTGCTCACCCAGAGGACTAGCTGGGCATAAAGAGAGGCTGGAGGCAGGATGGCTCATAAGACCCTTACGTGAGGCTGTTCCAAGTCCACAGTCTGCGCTTGGCTCACTGGGCAAGTCCCAAGATACACGATTGGCTCCAGACTGCCCAGGTCTGGCTAGTGGCCCTTAAGTCTTACCTGGGCTGGGAAGCAATGCTGGCTCCCTGGGTTCTGTTTCCTGGGGTTCTGAGTAGAAGGAGGTAGAGGTGTGTATACTCTGCTCCAGTGTTCCCTGTGAGCATCTCAGAAGCACTATCAAGGTTCTTGAGGAGTGCAGCTGGCTAGGGCACAATGCCAGGGTATGGTTGGAGATGGGCTTTTGGGTATTTTCACCAGTTGGCCAAATCCAATCACAGGGATCCTGGCATATCACTTGCCTGGGATGGGGTCTTTTTCTAAGAGCAAAATGAGTCCAATAGAGGAATTGGCATGGAAAGCTGTAACTCACAGGAACTACCTCCGAGAGCCAGGCTCCTGACAAGAACTCCAAGATGTTCTGGCCTGTATCCAGCTCGTCAAAGTCCCTTGTAGGAAACAGACTAAAATTCAAGACAAATCTAGAATTATGCTAAGGACCTGAGATGCTTTTTTAAATGCCATAAGGAAATAGTCTTCAACAACCTCTAAGCCAAAACAAGCTACCTTGGTTCTCTGTAGAATAGGTTCCCGTGTCTCTGCCTTGTGGGGCCTGTGGCCACAGTACCTCCAATTCCAATACTATGCCAGCTCCAGTGACAACTTCACCAGTGGGTAGGTTTTGAAGGTGGATAACCAAGCCCTTAGGACCTGAAAGGAATATGGAAAACTCACACAGAATGTAACTGGGCTATGCAGTTCTCAGGGGGCCTGCCATCAGTATGCTTGGGGATGGAACTTTAAGCACTTTGGAGTCATCAAAGATAGTGAAAATGGTGGCAGAGTCTGTGGCATCATAGCATCCAAAGGTCAGCCGGTCTTATTTTCTCATGTAAATCGGGCACTCAAACTCTGACAGTATTTCTCCAGAGCCCATGGAAGAAAGACAGGTGTCAAGGTCTCAGGATGGTGGTGGTGGTGGGGTGAACCCACAAGTACAACTTGTAAAACAGCAAAAGAATGAGCTACAAAATGACTTATTCCCTGGTTTCTGTCCAGTGAACAAGGACTATGAAAAGGCAAGATGTCAGCTTACTGACGAAAAGTAACGGCAAAGAATCAAGTCAACCTGAGTCAAAAGAAGCAACTCAGAGTCCTTTTCTGGAGACATCAGTTACAAGAATGGTGGTGATCCAGTGATGAAACCACCATCTTGTTGAATTTATTAGGCTTGCCTACAAAAAAAAGGAAGTTAATTCCTTTTTTTTTCTAGAATGTCCTAGAACCATCCAGAGGAAGATTTCTGAGTATTCACTGCTTTGTACTATCTGCACACGTGTTTAAAAACCTGCAGAACAGTCTGCAGAGATGATTCTTTGAATAATAGTGTGCACTGCTCTTCCAGAAGACCTAACTTCGGTTCCCAGCACCCACATCAGGCAGCTCATAGCTGCCTGTAGCTCCAGCTCCAAAGGGATCTGGCACCTTCTTTTGGACTCTGTAAGTTCATGGTTCTCTCTCTCTCTCTCTCTCTCTCTCTCTCTCTCTTTTGGTTCTCTCTCTCTCTCTCTCTCTCTCTCTCTCACACACACACACACACACACACACACACACACACTTATTTATGAATAAAAATAAAGTATATATTTTAAGAACCTGAAAATACAGGGTTTGATGGTCTACAACCTTGTCATCCTAGCACTTGGGAGGTAGAGACAGACAGAACAGAAGTCCAAGGTCACCCTCAGCTACATATCAAGCTTGAAGCCAGCCTGGGCTACATGAGACCCTGCCTCAAAAAATAATAATAAAAGAAAAATCTGCAACTTAACTAGGTTTAGTGATGCAGGACTGTAATCCTAGCGCTGACAAGAATGTGACAGGAGGCTTGAGATCTGAGTTCTACAGCAAACTGGTCAATTTATCAAGAGTCTGACTGTTTCAAAATCAAAATTAAAAAGGGCTAGAGAGTATTTCAAGGGCAGAGTGCTTACCTACCATGCTCAAGGCCTAGGGTCAATCTCCAGTAAAAAATAACAATAATAAAATCTTTAAATACAATTGAATTCCCATACAAAATTGCCATGACCAAACCACATCTATATCAGTGTGTGAGCAGAAAGCCAGGTCATAGCTGGGGCACCAATGTTTCGTGTCCTGTACCACAAAGCAGCCACCAAACCATGTCGAGGAGCTATAATGTCACTTTTCTCCAATAACACTCCACATCCACTGGGGTTTGTGTCCTTCGGGTACTACAGTGGAAGTCTCAGCCCCACCTGGACAAAACTTGCCACTGGAAACAACATGTGGTAGTTATAAGGCCCAGCACAAAGCCGAATCCATCCAAACCCAGCAGCCAGAACCCTGATACCCTGTCGTGAGAGTAATATCCTTTCCCAAGTGCCTCTTTGGAGCTCATCAGAGTTGAAGCACAAGCCCCTTGAGCTCTTCCAATGAAGGGATGGAAAAAACACCCAACCAAACACTGGAGTTTCTTTTTAAATGCATTTGGCATTCCTGGGTATGTAGCCACCCTAAAAAGGTGGCTTCCCACAACAGATCCTTCAATACACCTGAAGCTTGGGGGATACATTTCTGGAACTAGAAGGTGATCTAGGTACTTAGGTAGGGTACACAGGCAGGTTTGTGGAATAAGGCTGCCCCTCCTACCTGAATCAGCCACTCCTCTCTCCCCAACTTTCATTGACAGTAAAATGAAACACACTGTCTTGTCAGTCGCATAATTCTTGACAGAAAGTCAGCAACATGATGAAAGAAAGCTCCAGCGTGCTGATACTTTCCTGCAAGTGTCCAGAGCAACAGATGACATCATACTCCACTAACAGTCCGTGCTGCTGTTCCACACACGATGGTTCTTGACACAGCAGACAAACCACACATTTTGGAAAACAAGAATCTATTTCTTAATATTTCCATGTTTCAATCTAATGTAGCACAAAACTAGGCAGACTTAACTTAGGATGTTAGAAAATAATGTTTAAAATAACCTACTAATTCTTCCACATATACGCCCAGTGGGTGTGTTTCACATATCACACACAGTCAAAGTTCTATAATTCACACCCAAACCCTAAATCTTGCCACAAAAAAAAAAAAAAGGATAGGCTCTCAGTATGCAGCCCAGGTTATTCAAACTCATGATCCTTCTGCCTCAGCCTCCTCAAAGTTGGGAGTACAGGTGATCACCACTACACCAAGCATGGTTCTGTCAACCTCGAACCCTATACATAGAAAGTGAAAGGACAAATTTATATGAAAACAGTGGCATATTTAGGACATTTAAAATAAGGATATTAAAACATGATTGAAATAACAAAATATCAAACCCAAAGTTTACACCTGTATAGGACAGAACAGGATGAGCCTTGGCAATCTGCAGAAGTACAGGGATGCATACCCTAAGCCTCAAAGGAGGTCACAAAGAGGCCTTGCTACCCTACACCACTCTGAGCTTTATAAAATACAGACTGAGACTCACACCAGAAGGAAAACGCACACACAGCCCCGTCCTAGCCAGGCACTACTTTTGCTTGGCCTACACTATAGCAAGCACCTCCTAAAGCAAGGAGGGCCTAGATCAGGGTCACTCAGACAACAAAATAGGAAAGGGTTTCCTCAAGCTCCCTGAGGTCAGACCTATGGCACCAAATATCCTGGTGCACAAAGTGAAATCAGCATTTAGGGCTGGGCATGCCCTCTGGCTCTGAACATGACTACTGCATGTTGCTAGCACAAACAGGCTACAATTTCTTTTGAATAGAACTCATGTCAAAGTGAAGTTACTAGATACAGAGAGTACAGGAAACCTGCAAATCATTTCCCTCATTCCAAAACTATATGTTATATTCTCATTTTTTTTCTTTCTCCCTCTCTCCCTCCCCACCCCCTGGGTTTCTCTCTAATAGCCCTGGCTATCATGGAACTCACTTTGTAGACCAGGCTGACCTTGAATACACAGAGATCCACCTGCCTCTGCCTCCTGAGTGCTGGGATTAAAGGTGCATGCACCAAATTTATTCTTAAAGACAAACAGTATCTGGGGAACCAGGGAACCAGGAACAAACAAGGAGTTGTTACCTCAGTCTGCCCTGAAGGGGAAGTATGAAGAAAGATTAAGAAAGATTAATAATCCAAACCCGCCGGGTGTTGGTGGCGCACACCTTTAATCCCAGCACTTGGGAGGCAGAGGCAGGTGGATCTCTGTGAGTTCGAGGCCAGCCTGGTCTAGAGAGCGAGTGCCAGGATAGGCCCCAAAGCTATACAGAGAAACCCTGTCTCGAAAAATGAAAACAAAACAAAACAACAACAACAACAACAAAAGAATAATCCAAACCTCATCTCACCTCCATTGTTCCATATTATCTACAAAAATTGTTGAATTTCAGAACTCCTCTGTTCATGTGAATTTCAGGTACCCCCAAGTCCCCTACAACCACCTTTATGAACTGTCCCAATACTTTGGGACTTTGAGGAATCTAACAATCCATGTCCCTAAGTATACTTTGCTCTTGAGACATTCACCACACTGGTTTGTCCAAGCCATGTTCACACTCTTGGATGCTGTTTAACAATCACAACAGCCATGGATTGGCCCCACCCCCACCTCCCAGATGTAGGAAACACAGCCTGAAAGTGTTTGACAGCACACCTAACAATCTCAGTGCACACTGTTGATGAAGCAGCCTCAGCTTGCCTCCATGGCCACTTGATAAGTAACTCGGAAATAAAGAGAGCAGACATCATTTTCCACCTTTAGTCTTTATTTGCCATAAACGATTTGCATAACTCCTCAAACCAATACAAAAGCCCAACAAATAATGTTTTAGTGCTCATGGAAACAAAACCGTAAACATGGTCCAAAGTGCCAGCATCAAAGGCAGCTGGAAACTGTCCTGCAATTCAGTGGCTTGGAGGATTACCAGTCACCATCATACATGTCCTTGGGCTTCCTGGGACAGGATACCCCTCATGTTCCCAACTCAGTGTATCCAGAGTGGGGTGTGTCCCTTACTTCCCCAAAGAGAAAGGTATCAGGTCATTTTCTCACACTCATGCTGAGCACCAGATGAACGGGAAGTTCTGGAGCTAGGTTGATGCCCAGGGCAGTCACACCATTCTCCCAGCATCACCCAGATGACTACTATTGTTAGCATGTAATGTGACATGGGAAGCAGCCTGTCTTGTGGCTAGGAGCTCTGCAGATGCTAATGCCTCTTATCTCACAGGAAAAGGCAGCTTGAGGGAGCCAGCTTGCTGAACGCCAGCTGAACAGTAGCTGCCCTTCAGCTGCAGCATTGTCAGTCTGTGGTCTGAATTTCATCTAGACACACTACGGTCTTATATGCAGCATCCAACTCCTTTCTAAAAACACACACATGACAGCACTCTCTAACAAGAACAAAGCAAGCTCCACATCCAGGTCAGCGGCTCTCTGCATGTCTCCTACACAGAACAAATCCCAGCACAAAGGCTGGGTGCCGGGACCAGCAGAGGGAGCCAGTACCTGTTCCCTGGACACAAAGACTATCAGACACCAGACCTGCCACTGGCTTAAAGGGACTTGTGGCTTAGGTTTACTAATTGTGTGCACTTTTAAGCTCGGTGGGTTTTAGGTTTAGATGCTTCAAGTTTGAGCACAAACCGTTCCAACAAGTGCTCACTGCTCCCTCTTGATGTCCAACAATATATACCAATTCCCTTCTGGTTCTGTAAAGCAAGCATGCTGGTCCCATTGGACACAAAGCCAGTCTACATCCTGAAAGACTTGGAGGTAGTTGGAAGGTAGCTGCAACCCACAGCCGATCTGCCTGACAGGCTCAGTGACACCTGGGTCTGAGAGTTGAAATGAGGTGCTAAAAATCAAAGCAGGACACAGTGACACACCAGAGGTTGCACTTACGAGACAACGAGTGGGCACCTTTGGGCAGGTACTCGAACAGAAGCGAGCCATCGTCACCGAGCACGTCAGCCTTGAGTGACAGCAGACTGTTCTTACTCATGAGTGCTGCACGAAGGTTGGCCACTGCAGTGGCCTGGTGCAGTGCTTCATCCTTCTCTGGGGTGAGGGGTGGGCCCAAGTAGCTGGTTTCTCCTCCTAGGAGGCCCTCATCGATGTGTGCATAGAGCTCTGCTCTCTCACCTCTGCTGTCCGAGCTGCTGGCCTCAGTGACAGTCAGGTCCATATCTAGGGAAGGGGAGGTACACACAGGTCATTTGGGGATATTGCAACTGGGAAATGAAGACAATTAGAATGAAGGCAACGAGCTTCAGTCCAGTCCAGCCCTGTGGACCAGTGTACCTGCACAGAGCAACATACTGTGCTACTGATCCTACCTGCCCAGACCCATGACATGCCACATAGCACAGAAAAATTTACAATCCAATGGGAGCTTCATTCAGAACCAGGATAGAAGGCCACTAACCCTTGGTAAGGGGCCAAAGACCTGAGCCTAGACCCAGCTCTGGAGCTACAGCGTCTCCTCTTCTCAAAGCACAGGGGGCACTCAATGAACATTAGAACTCAAACTATAAAACTCCTAGAAGAAAATCTACATGACTGCAGATTTGGTTGTCAGACACCATAGGCATTAGCAATGAAACATAAACTGGATTTCATCATAATTAAAATCTCGTGCCAGGTATGATGGTACATGCTTGCAGTTCCAACACCTAGGAGAAAGAGGCAAGAAGACCAGGAGCTCAAGGTCATTCTCAACTATACAATGAGTTTGAGACCAGCCTAGGCTATGTGAGGCTCTGTCTCAAAAAATAAGACAAAATACTAAATAAATAAATAAATAAATAAATAAATAAAAGCTGATGTGCTTCAGTGACAGCCCACAGAATGAAGAGTATGTATAAGATACATACATACATACATACATACATACATACATACATATTGGAATAGGGTCTCATGAACCCCATGTTACCCTCTACCTCTCTTTGTAGCCAAGGATAACCTTGAGCTCCTGATCCTCCCAACCTCCATCCCCTAAGTCCTGGCATTACAGTTGTGTGACACCATGCCTTGTTTACCTGGTATGGGGAATTGAACCTAAGACCTATACATAGTAGGTAAGCGCTCTACCACTGAACCATAGCCCACTCCAAAATTACATAGCTGATAAGACATATACCAAGACTATAAAATCTCTTTTAATTCAATAATAAAGATAAATAAAAACACGCAGTAGATCTGATTAGACAGCTATCTAAAGATACAGATGGCCAATAATCTCACAAAAAGATATTCAAACATCTTTGTCATAAGAGAAATACAAACCAAAGACATAGGTCTGGGGGGATGGCTCAGTGGGTTAAAAACACTTCCCATTAAAGCATGCAGTTCTGAGTCTGAATCCCTAGCACTTGGGTAAGAAGTCAGGCATGACTGTGGTAGTGCTTGCCTAGCATACCCAAGGCCCTGCCTTCAAACCGCAGCACTGTAAGAAAAACAAAACCACACTGAGATACAATTTCACACCTATGAGAACAGCATCTATCAAACCAACAGAAAACAAGTATCAATGAAGAGGTGGAGAACCTGAAGCCTTGTCATAACTGAAAACATGAATCATACATACATATTGGAATAGGGTCTGCATCTGGAAGGCTGGCAGTTTCTCAAAGATGACCGGCCCAAGGCTCCCCTAAACCTCTTTCCCAAGAGCACAGGATAGAAAGAGAACACCAGAAGCAAAGAAAATATCAATGTGTCTCTGTGTGCTTAGGGCCTCCTAGACCATGCTTAACAGTAATGATGTCAAACGGAATGCTTAACAGTAATGATGTCAAACGGAAACTGGAGTTCTCTAAGACACGGGGTGGGCTTTAATATCGTCATAAAAAGCTGAAAACCACTCAACTACCTGCAGAAAGCTAGCATGTGCTTCACATGCCCTAGGATTTAAGGAAACTTTTTATTAGATTGTATTCATATTTTTATTTTGTGTGCGTGCTCTGCCGGCATGTGCGTAAGTTCGCCATATGTATGCTTGATGCCCATAGAGGTCAGAAGAGGGCATCAGATCCCTTGGAACTGGAGTAACAGATGGTTGTGAAACCATTATTGGGTGCTAAGAATCAAACCCACGTCCCTGCAAGAGCAACAAGGGCTCTTAGCCACTGAGCCATCCCTTCAGACCAATAGTGCGATTTTTGAGCAACTTAACTCTTAGGAATTTATGTGAATTTTTTTGTTTTTTTGTTTTTTTCTGAGACAGGGTTTCTCTGTGGCTTTGGAGGCTATGCAGGAACTATCTCTTGTAGTCCAGGCTGGACTCGAACTCACAGAGATCCACATGCCTCTACCTCCCAAGTGCTGGGACTAAAGGCGTGCGCCACCACCGCCCGGTGAATTTATGTGAATTTAAAGTATGTTTCTCTCTTGCATCTAACTTGCTGAGCCATGGGCCTGGAAACAAGTGGATGGTGAGACTTGGACAGAAATTCTTGGAATCAGCCTCCAGAGTTATGTCATTTAGCCAACCGTGACAATAAGTTTCACACTCTTCTCAAAACATAGCTCCCAGGTAAACAGATTACCTCCTACAAAGGCTACCAAAATGCTTCTGTGAGCTAAGAGTCAACATAACACACAAGAATCCTTACTAAGATAAGGGCCTGACCAAAGCCGACATGCAACATGACAAGTTACATGACTGAACCCCTCACAATCACTGTCTCAAGTGTTAGAGGCAAATAAATTTGGTGACATTAGGGGGAAAGACTTCAATGGCAATGTTAAAAAATAATCAAATGAATGACAAGACATAGTGATGCATGTCTTCTTTAGTCCTAACACTTGGGAGGCAGCAGCAGGTGGATTTCTGTGAGTTCAAGGCCAGTCAATCAAGAGAGACCTTTACTCAAAAAATTAAAAGAAAACTATGCTGTATGTGGTAGTTCTCATTTGTAATCCCAGCACTTGGGAAGCTGAGGCATGATTGCTGAGAGTTAGAGGCCAGCCTGGACTATAGAGTGAGAGTACCAGGATGACAGGAAAGAGTTACTACACCCAGCTTTTGTAATATTGTTCATAATGACATGTAAATCTACATATCTCAAAATGGGGGGGGCAGATCCAAGGTACTTCCTTTCCTGAAATATTCTCTACCTGTTCCCAAGCTGGCTTTGCCATTGCCTTTGGGGCTTGGGGACCGATTGAGAACACCCACAAGAGAACTGGGTTGATAGTTTCTGTCATATGAATGGATTTGTCAAAACTCAACACTTTGCATGGTTAAAATTAAAATGTGAAAAGCAACAAGGTTTATTCATTAATGGTGGCAGGCAGATGGTATAGGCACTTAGGAAAATTTTTCAAAGATTTTTCTAAGTTTGAGCACATTCCTTCCCATGATCAAGCCTCTCCATGATGGAGTGGTTACTACAGAAAAACAAATACAGGCATCCCTAAAAGAGCCTGACGGTGTTGCAGAAGCTCTGCTTCCAACCACAGTACATGCAGATCTGTGCCTATCATCACCAGACAGACAGACAAAGGGTGCAGTATGCAGACAGTGTTTATGACACTGTAATGAACAAAGTGTAACATTCAGGTAGATGCTGCACAGGTTAGCCACAAAGACAGTAACGCATGTAAGAATTCTCAGCAGAAGGTACTGCTGTACGTTGTTGGATGCCACTGGATAAAATGCTACACAATCTAAATCAACCCAGGGAGACTCCAGAGAGTTCAACTCCTTTTTGGTGCTAAGGGCTGTATTCATCAAATATCAAATAAGCACTGAGGTTTGGCACATTCATAGCGGCTAAACTTCACCTAAAATTGTAAACACACTGAACTCTAATGATAACTTGGAATGGAAAACCTGCTGTCTACCACTTACTTTGAAATAACAACAAACAAAAAATAAGGTGGCATTTCAGGTAAGTATATTTTTTATAATTTATTTATTTTATACATATGAGTGATTGTTTGCATGTATGTATGTGCAACAGGTATGTGCCTAGTATTTTCAAAGGTCAGAGGACGGCATAGAATTCCTTGGAACTTGAGTTAACCATGATCGTGAGCTACCATGTCAGTGCTGGGAACTGAACCTGGGTCCTCTGCAAAAGCATCAAGTTCCTTTAACCACTGAGCCATCTCTCTAACCCTCAAGTGGATGGCATTTAATAGAATAAAAACACAATGTTAACAACTGGGAAATGCAGCAGCAGATATATTCACTATTTCATTTTTTTCAGCTTTTATCATCTTTTTTTGTTTTTGTTTTTTGTTGTTCAAGACAGGGTTTCTCTATGTAGCCCTGGCTATCCTGGAACTCACTCTATAGTTTAGGCTGGCCTCAAACTTAGAGATCCACCTTCCTCTGCCTCCTGAGTGCTGGGATTAAAGACATCCACCACCACCACCTGGTTGCTTTTCTTTCTTTCTTTCTTTCTTTCTTTCTTTCTTTCTTTCTTTCTTTCTTTCCTTCCTTCCTCCCTCCCTCCCTCCCTCCCTCCCTTCCTTCCTTCCTTCCTTCTGCCTTCTCCTCCTTCCTTCCCTCCCTCCTTCCTCCCACTTTCTCTCTCTCTGGTTTTTTAAGACAGGGTTTCTCTGTGTAACAGACCTGGCTGTCCTGGAACTTGCTTTATATTCTAGGCTGGATTCGAAATCACAGAGATAGCCCTGCTTTGGCCTCCATGCCTGACACTTTTCTTTTCTTTCTTTCTTTCTTTCTTTCTTTCTTTCTTTTTTTTTTTTTTTTTTTTTTTGGTTTTTGAACCAGGGTTTTTCTGGGGTTTTGGAAGCTGTCCTGGAACTAGCTCTTGTAGACCAGGCTGGTCTGGAACTCACAGAGATCTGCCTGCTTCTGCCTCCCAAGTGCTGGGATTGAAGGCATGCGCCACCAATGCCCAGCCACCTGGCACTTTTCTTTCCATTTTATTTTATTTTATTTTATTTTATGAGACAGGGTTCTGCTATAAAAGCCAGACCAGCCTCAAACTCAAAAAAAGTCTCCTACCCCAGCCTCTGCAATGTTAGGATTACAGGCGTGTCATCATATTGGCTTCAATATTAATTATGAATAATTTTTCAATAGAACATTAGAGATACAAACAATATTGTTCTAACCATGAACTTTTAAAGATGTCTTTATTTAATGGATATTAAGTGCTCTATCTGCACATACACCTTTAAGCCAGAAGAGGGCATCAGATCCTATTATA